ATGATTTGCCTTTCCTGAATCCAGCTTGTTCTGGTCGGAGTTCTGTATCCAGTGCGTCCGTTATTCTCTCCAGGATGATGCGACTCAGGATTTTACTTGGCGTCGACAGGAGCATGATTCCTCGCCAGTTCTTGCAGAGTCCTAAGTCGTCCTTCTTTGGTAGTTTCACGAGGTAACCTTTCCTCCAGTCAGTAGGCACCTTTCCCTCCTTCCAGACCTTTTGCAATAATGGAGTCAGCATATCTGCTGTCGTCTCTGGGTCCGCTTTCAGTGCTTCAGGGGGTATTCCATCTGGTCCAGCTGCTTTTTCAGCTTTCAGAAGCTTGATTGCATTCATGACTTCAGTTTTCGTTGGAGGATTGGTGTCAACTTGCAGTTGTGTACGTGCTGTTGTTGGTATTTCTGGACGGGTTGCAGGTGGTGGTCTGTTCAAGAGTCCTTTGAAGTGGTCCGCCCATTGTTTAATCTGTCTTTCTTCCTTGGTAATTGGGTTCCCTTGGCTGTCTTTTATAGGTTTTACTTGTGTTGATCTCTTCCCGGATAGAGACTTGGTTATCTGATATAATGTCCTCAGGTCCCTTTTACCTGCTGCCTTCTCAGTTTCAGTGGCCAGATTGTCGTAGAATTGTCTTTTGTCCTTCCTGGCACTCTTCTTCACTTCTTTGTTCAGTGCTGTGTAAGTTTAGCTCAGCGTCTCTTTCTCTTGTCCGTCTTTGCATTGAATCATTTTCTCTTTCACCATTCTCCTCTCCTATATTAGCTTCCAAGTGTCCACTGAGAGCCATTCCTTGTCTTGTCTCTTCTTTCTTCCTAAATCCGTTGAACACGTTTCGTTGAAAATCACCTTCAGAGAGTTCCAATGGTCTCCCACGCATGATTCTTCCGTGATGTCACGTAGTGTTTCCTGCTTTGCTATGACAGTTGCAGTGAAAATGTCCTTTGTGATTGTGTCCTTCAGTTTGTGAGTGTTGAACTTGCATTGTGGCCTATCCCCAGGTATCCTCGAGGCTTTCAGCTTCACCTTGAATGTCCCTTGTACTAGATAGTGGTCTGAACCCACATCTGCTCCTCTCCTCGACCTTGTGTCCAGTAGGCTCCGTCTCCACTTCCTTGAGATTGAAATGAAGTCTATCTGGTTTTTGGTGTGTCCATCTGGTGAAATCCACGTCGCCTTGTGTATGTCCATGTGTTTGAACACACTGCCACCAATCACCAAATCATTGATGGCGCAGATGTCTGAGAAGAGTTCACCATTTTCGTTCATTTCACCGAGGGCCTCGCGACCCATGGTGAGTTCTCCTCCTGTATTGTCTCCGCCCAGCTTCACATTCATATCACCCATCAGGATTTTGATATCGCCATTAGGGACGTTGTCCATTACTGTTTGTAGTTGACTGTAGAAATCCTCCTTCTTCTCTTTTTCTGAGACGTTTGTAGGCGCATAGCATTGAGTGATTGTAACCTTCCTTCCTTTTGAGTTGAACCTAGCTGTCATTATCCTGGAGGATATTGGTTCCCACTGCATGAGAGCTTTGGCTGCTGTTGGTGACATCATGATGGCTACTCCCTCGGTGTGCTCGTGATTGTCCTCTGGGTAACCGGAGTAGATTATTGTCTCTCCAGTTGGTAGTTGGTTCCTTCCACATCCGTTCCATCTGCTCTCGCAGATTCCCAACACTTCTATTTTATATCTCCTCATTTCTGCGGCTACCTGGGCAGCCTTTCCAGTCTTGTACATTGTACGAACATTCCACGTCCCCATCCTTATTTTTGCTTTCACCGAAAGAAGGCACATTGGCTGACTGGCCTGCGTCATTTCACTTCTCCGATTCCGAAAAATAAGGTTATTGTTTATGTTTTTGGAATTCTTAATATATTTGTGCGTTGAAGTTTCTGCAGCAGTTTGGTTAAGTTTTAGGGGTGGAGTTGCTAGCACCACGCCCCAACCCTCCCTCTTTATCCGGGCTTGGAACCGGCTAGAAAACTAGTGAGCTAGTAATCTAGGCGAGGTTAAACCGTTTACTAAGGTCACCATCAAAGTTGAGCGACAACCCAAAATTCGTTCGGTTTCCTGCTGATCGTTACGGTCGACCAGTGAACAGCGTATATCTGGGTGAGTGCTATACCGCCACGTGACTGAACGCTATTTCAGGAAGAGGAGAAAATTCTGCGCAGCCGCAAAATGGTATAAAATGCGATTATGAATAATACATTGTTGGAAGTATATTTACAAGATAAATACAAGGAGAAGAAGCTATATAGTACTTGAAATGATAGTTTATATTTGCAATGTTTAATGCTAACCATATTGGTCTAAGCATGGAAATTATCACGTTTCCGATGAAAATATAGCTTTGTTCAAACATTGGTGTTGTTGTGTTTTTAATCAAAGCAACCAGACTTTGGGCAAGCAACAAATATGAATAAAGAGAAAGTTTCAGCATCAGGTGCCTCTTATATAGGCTACTGCCAACAACAATACCAGACATAACCATACACATTATGAAGGATCGGCCAAAAGCCTGACTCTACGGTAAATCAGCCTGTACGCCTTCTCAAAGTCGTCCTAAACTCCAAAAAAGAGAGGGATACCATTCTAAGCAACTTTCAAACTCTAAAGGGATCAGGCATATACGTGGGTAAGTAGCATCGAATCACTCGCTCACGAAAATGAATCGCGCGAACTTCTGCGCTGCAGACTTAAATGCATTGGCAGAGATATTGACCTCATTACTATATACCTCAGTCATGACTGCAGTGCAGATGACTCCTTAATAGAGAAGCTCGAAATGTCGAAGTCTAGTGGTCGGTAACTTCATCGCCCCAACAATCAACTGGACAAACCCTACACAGTGCTCACTTTCAAGTTCACAGCAGCAGTATCATGGGCCAAAACTCCAGCTCGACCAAACGTTGGCAAAGCTGATATAAATGCGGTCGTCTCAGCAACCCACTCAGTAAAATGGTACATCAACCCAGAGCCCCAAGTAAAAGCATCATGGAACCAATTTAAACAAAGTTCAAAGCATATCTGGCTCAGAATGTAATAGCACAACCTAAGAACTTCAGGAATAAAACATCCATGGTGTCCAAAACCTGACTACTGATAATGACACAATCGAAGAAGATCAAGAAAAAGCAGAAGCAATGGCGGAATACTTCTTCCAAATATTTACACAGGAGTCGTCCCTCCCCGTAGAATGAGCTCTGGGTGTATCAGAAGAACACAGGATAGATTTTGTTGTCGTCGACCAAGACATCGTGCTCAAATACCAGATGAAACTGGATGCAGGGAAATCAATGGGTCCTGATAATCTTCATCTAAGGCTTCTCAAGGAGATATCAGATCACATAGCCAGCCCTTTGACAACGATCTTCAGGCCATCTCTCCTTAATGGAGTGTTACCGTGTGACTGCATTCACGCCATAGTAACCCCCATCCACGAAGGAAGAACAAGACAAAGCCCTTCAAATTACAGGCCTATTAGTCTCAAAACACTGGAAAGAATCATCAAGACAAGTTTCATGGCATATATGGAAAACAACAATTTGTTATGAAGAGCATAGCGTGGCTTCCGAGGAGATCTCTTAAGTCTGTCAAATCTTCTCACTGCAAGAGAAAATTGAGTCAAATCAAGGAACAACAGAAGACCTGTTGACGTCGACTTCATTGACTCCAGCAAAGCCTCCAATAAAGTTCCCCACAAAAGACTACTCATGGAGCTGGAAAGTCTTGGTATAAAAGTCAGGTTTCTAAACTGTATTAATTTTTTTTTTTTGGATTTACAGCTTGATTTCCACACCGTATTTTCAGTACTAGTGTGAACTTTCAGCATGGATATCGGTTGCCCAAATTCAGGCATACCATAGATATCGGTGTGCGCCGGCAGGGTTCGAACCCGGACCATGTGCATGGTCGGCGAGAGTCCTAACCACTGTGCACCGACGTTATGGATAGGAAGCAGACGGTAAGCATCAACTTGAAACTCTCCTCTTGGACAGCACTGCGTAGCGGAGTGCCACACGGCATGGAACTCGGACCTCTCCTATTTAGTTTGTATTTCAATGAGTTATCTCTGCTGACAGAATCCCCTAAGGTTCTATACGCAGATGACTTAAAAATCAGTAGAGAGCTGAAAGCGACAGTGTTGCGCTCACATCATTGGAAGACCTAAAGAGATTGTCATAATGGTCCAGAAAATGGATGCTCCCAATCAATGTAGCAAATGTGCAACCGTGTGCATCGAACAAGCAAGCATCAGCTTCTACTGACCAGGGGGAATAACACTCCCATCAGTTCAGACTCATTTGGGATTAGGTGTCATAGTAGGTCACGATTTAAAAATACAGCATATTTTCGTGCAGTGACTGCACGTAGTTTCAGATCCTCATGGGCGATTTGCAGAGCGTTTACTAGAATCACCGGAGATATGTTCACATCCTTAAATACGTCCCTGGTGAGGGCAAGACTGGAAAACTGTGTCCAAGCAGCCAGCCACTCATTATCCTAAAGGGGACTCACACATTCTAGAAAGGGTCCAAAGGAAGGCAACACGTGTGCTTCTCGGCATGACTAAATTATTATATGAGGAAAGACTAGGCAGTTTAAATCTCTTCTCACTGTCATACCATGGGCAGAGAGGAGATTTAATTACAATGTTTAAAATTTCAAATAATGACTACGGACCTGACCTATTCTCTTTTCCTTCCCACCAGGTCGGAACACCTTGGAGAACATGGCAGGAGATTTCAAAAGCCAAGAAGAAATCATATTGCTGTTCAGTTCTGGTTCTCACACCAAGTCATAAACTCTTGGAACCGACTCCCAGAAGATGTGGTGTCTGCAACCCCAGCTGATTTATTCAAGAAGGGCTTTGACAACCACAGAAACTTACTAGAAAAGGATTAACATAGTCTCCAAGCCTTCTATCTTCAACCAATAAATCTGCAGTTTGAACCCGAAATATGTCAAATGGTATTGGAGTTAGAAAATAAACGCGCGATTTTAGGCATTTGCGTCACCAGGGTGGGAATTACTAATTACTGTAGATTCGTGTTTCCATAGGTTGAAGGTGTACCCCTTTTTGTTTTAGGTAATTTTATCGAGTTGGATGTCGAAGTTACTTAATAATCACGCAAATAAACAAAATAGTGACACTTAAACGGCCGATAGTTTCTTTAGTGCAGTAAAACGAGTTTTCCAGAAAGGACTGAAAGAGATGTGGGAATAATGAACAAGTTACAAGAAAATCAGGATTCGTCTGAAAGGAACTGGATCTACTTTGGATTGGATTCCTGGTTGGTGAATTTTTTCTGGTGAACATATGTTATCACATTGTACCAGTCGGATGGGAATGGGAGAAGAGTCGTTAACATGAGTGTGATTTTGTGCAAATAGTAAGAATGGTAGTGTAGTGTGAAAGTAGTGTTGAGATACATAAATTTGCAAATAATCACCTATCTGGGCCAGTCGTTTGTACTTCAAATCTTAAGATGGGGCAGTTGATTTTTATGTTTAAAGTTCTCACTAGGTGAGGCTTAAGTTTCGTGGAATTCCCTGAGACCTAGTTAACGACCTAATGTACAGGTGATCTTATAACGAGGTTACGTTATTTGTTCCATTTGGAATAAAGCCTTTAATGTGTATTCACTCAAGCAGCTTCATTTATCTGAGCAGTTTATTCGTACCTTACAGCGTATTCCTGTAATACCTTAAGATGGTTGAATGTCTTTGCATCTCATCCTGACTTCCATAACGTACTGAATTAATTACCTTCACAGATCTATTTGTTATAATGTATTGTATTATAAGTAACTGTAAACTCTTCATCTAATAATAATAATTTCTGTTTATTTCCTTCTACAGATATTTATCTATAATGATGAGTAGATTTTGGAGTGGTATCGCTGACGCAGTGCATCCGTTATCACGAACTGGACATTCGGCAGTATCTCATGGACGATATATTTATGTCCTTAATGGATATGGTCCTCATAATAATAAGGTAAAATGTTTATGACTTATTTTCTTGTCCATGTATAATTAACTTAAGATGTTGGTAAATGTTCATAATCACTACATATCCACAATGTCTAAGAAGTGTGAATTATGATCGAGAGACCTTCAGTCTGCACTAAAACAAAAGACTAGACACACTGCACTTTTTACTAACTAGTGTCCAATCAATGAATCATCTTTCTCTTCCACAGACGTAGGTGATATGCTGTAGACAAATGACGTCTTATTACTTCCATATTAGTTTGTTTATTAGATGTATCACACAGTGAGTGAAACAGTATTATTTACTGGATGACGTTTCGAACAAAATTTATTGTTCATAATCATCTCATCAATTATAATCACACAACTTCGAAACTTCAGTTTTATAGTATTCTTTGTTCTCTCCTATTTGTCGTCGTTGGGGCAATAGAATTTTCCGGATATCTGCGTGGACAGGTGTTGAATCATTCCTATTACATGTATTTGCAGTTGATTCGATAAACAAAGCTTCTGTTATCAATCTCCCCCTCCATCCTGCTGTGACATTAGATTTTAAAACTGTCATCTTATCCCATCCATCCTATTGTATGGTTGTGTGTAATTGCATGTGGTGTAGTGCTATCTACGGCCGAACTACTCTCTAGATTTCTTATCATATTCAGGTCAACTAATCTAGATTTTGCTGCTAGGTTTTTATGCTCGGCTAGTCTGACCCCTACGACAAATACAAGGGAACAAAGAAGACTGTAAAACTCAAGTTTCGAAGTTGTATGATTATAATTGACGATTTGATTATGAACAATAAATAAATTGTGTTCGAAACTTTGTCATCCAGTAAATAATAATACTGTTTCACTCACTGTGTGATATATCTAATAAACAAACTAATATGGAGTTACTTACTACCACAGTCCAAGTTACACTATATTAAGACGTCTTATTACTTTGTCTAAATTCATAAAGGGAATTAATCGTTTCAAATAGTAATAATATTAATAATAATAATAACTTATCGTTTTTCTTCTCTTACACACTTTATATATATATACAGATGGTTCTTATTGATCAAGTCGGTTTAACACGATATGATATATTAACAAATTGTGTAGAATTGTTGCCTGTCCATTGGGATATAAAATCGCTACAATATCATATGTTTAATGAATCGATCTTGTTAACATCTGGCGGCAGTGCTGTCATTGTCAATGATACAGATACAGAACCTGCATGTATTTATACATTTGGTGGATATTCTATCCTAGGCAATATTCATGTGAATGCATTATGTCGAATTCAATTAGGCGGTTCTAATTTATCCAAAGGTTGTAAAAAATCAAATCAAAAAAGCGCAAAACAATTTTCAAAAGAATTTAAATCACAACATTGTTATCGTTGTTGTCATGCCTCAGTGATAAGTGGACATGGTATTCTAAGTTGTCTAGCTTATCTATCACAAGACAATGCTTTACATCAATGCCTTACACTAACAATGCTAAAATCATTTCAACGAAAATTAGAATATTATCATTATAATAATCCTTATCATAAAGTTCATAAGATACATAAAAGTGATAATTGTCATCAATTAATTCCATCTCCACGTGATAAATTATGCATGGAATATTGGCATGGTAAATTATATGCATTCGGTGGTTATGGACCAAATTTTATGCCATCATCTACATGGCCTAACGATCTATTCCATTGGCCGTATTTACACGATCCAAATGATACAAGTAATTGGATTATGTGTGATGCTAACGGTGGATGGAATAGTCAACTGTTGGTTTATGATCTTCAAAAAAATTCTTGGGAATTAATTAAACAATCTAACATGACTGGTTCTTTTCCATCACCACGTGCAGCTCATTCATCCACTATCCTATCAAATCATGGTTGGATGATTATATTCGGTGGACGTGGTCCAACAAGTAATCATCGACAAGAACAATTACATCAATTCAATGATTTTGATATGGGTCGATTAAATGATATGTATTGTTTAGATTTAAATATTATGCAATGGACAAGAATTTTAACCCCATTGGATATACCCTATCTAGGCAGGAATTGTCTACTGACACCACCACCACAAGTATCTACAAGTATTTGGCCATGTGGTAGATCATGGATGGGTATGACAGTGATACATGAATCCTCGCCATCATTATTAATGGATGAGTCTGTATGTAATGTCTGTTATTATCATGATGATGATGATAATGATGATGTTGGTGATGTAGGCAGTGACGATGCAGCTCAATTATTTCTTCTCGGTGGTTGGTCAAATCACAATGAAGCTTTAGATGATGCCTATCTGATAAATATTCATTTCTGTAGAAAGCATAAATCCATAGAGGCTAAGATAGCAAATTCTACAAAGACAACGTATACAAGTCAAAGAAGTAGTACTTCTAGCTACTCTACTACTACTACTGCTACTACTACAAATAAAACGTCTACTTCGTTTATTAAACCAATACATGATTTTAATGTCAAACCAACAGTTGTAGATGGTTTTACATGTTTATATAATAATATTAATAATAGTATTGAGTTTAGTAATTATTCAGCTTATTATGAATGCACTAAATTATTTCTAACTTTTGATGGTGAAATCTTATCAAATGAAACCTTCTACATATCTCTGATTAAATCACTTTATACCTGTTCAGTGCCTTCCTCTACTACTGATTTGCTGAAGGCAAGTAGTAGTAGTAATAATAATAATAATAACTATGATCATATTGACAATGGAGTAGATTATATGGAACTTTTTCTACACGATATGAGCTATCATTTATTTGTATATCAAAAGTTGTCTTTCAATGTTATGAACAACGAGGCGAAGAAGGAATTGAACAACAACGAGAGAATAAATCCGAAAAGTGTACTTTATCGTATCGCTTTAATGCATACTATATTTATACAATATCTAGTGAAAAATTATTCTCGGTATTCTATACCTTCTTCTTTATGTTCGTGTTCGTTGTCGTCTATCGCTTCGTCATCATCATCATCATCTTTGGCAGGAGAAGAAGGCGGCTTTGCTTCTTGTAGTCGATTAATAGAGATAGTGAATCAATTGTGTGCAAATTGTTATGAATCTCTACATCATCAACAACAACAATGGCAGCAGCAGACTGTACCACTAAGTTTAGTCATCATGATAGGCATTCTGTTGAAATTTATGCTCCCGTGGCAAATATTTCAAATGTTATTACAAGAAGGAGACAATAATAATAGTAATAATAATAATAATATCATACTAAGTCATGGTTACCAAATCAAGCGAGTAAATATTTTCTTATATCCTTTATCCCTCTATTTGGTGTATGTGAACGTTTCCCGCAAAGATTACACTTACCATGGTTATCAACAACTTCTCCTTGGTCGTTGTCAGTGGCGGAAGTGCATTCATTAGATTTGAATAATCACTCAATAATTAATCAGTTTATTAAGTCAATGCATATGATCAATATGCCTACAGAACGACTGGCACAGATATATGAACAATTTACACGGAATTTTATATATGATCGTTTCATGTATAGTTTATCAGAGATAGTCAAATCCACGTATGATTGGTATAGTAGTCGATTAGAACAACCGTTATCTAATACCATACAAGATAAATTATCTATTCTATCAAAAATAACCATGAAATATTCACTTTTATCCAAATCATTCCCGTTATCACAATCATTCCGACAGTGTGAACCGATTGATCGTCATTGGCATAGAATTACGCTTGGTTTAAATGGTGTTGTATATGCTATAGGCGGTACAACTATCGAGGCATTGAATACACCAATTGAATGTTATTATTTTAATCCACCCGCGGGTAGTTTAAAAATTCAATGTTTTACAAAAGTAACAAAATTGATTCTATCCAGTGTTTATAATGCAATACAAAAGAATTTATCCGCAGAAGGAGACGGAATATATGCAAAGAAGAAGTGAGGAGTGATGATAATAATAATAATAATGGCGAGAAGACGATAGTGCTGAGAAGAAGCAGCAGAAGAAGGAGTGGTGGTGGAGAGATGCATGGTCATCGATTGAAATTATATCAGTGTATTAAAGCATTGACAAGTTCTCATTATGGTTATATTGATTTAACAGATGACGGTAATTGTCTTCTCAAATTTTTAGATGAAAGTTTAAGCGGATTATTGAATAGTGATGTGAGAAAATGTTTATTGGAGCAATGGTTGTTATGAGTAAGGATTGTCTGTATGTGTGTATGTGTGTGGGTGCGTGGTGAGCGGGAGGGAGGATTTTTGAGGTTGAATTTCTTCTTTTCGTTTTCTTTTGTTTTGCTGTCATCTCCTCCTCGCAAAAACTCACCCATTTTCCGCTTGTTTTTGACTCTTTGTTTTGCCTTTTGTGAAAGGGTTGAAGATGAGGTTGAGACAGAGAGAAAGATAGGCATGGGTTTTCCTTGTCTTTATAGATATTACTGTATATATTGCTGTAGATGTCTATTATTAGATGTTAATTCAACTGTTTTCACTTCACCGTCTTTCAATGTCAGTGCCAGTGGAGACGAAGTTGAAGGTGGGGCGGCGGCAGTTCACCTCTTGGTTTATTCACATAGACATTTTTCGCCTTCTATATCTATCTTGTTTTTAAGTAGATTAGTTTGTAATGTATGATGAAAAAAAATAGTGGGGAATGTACTTTTTCTTATCCCCTCACCTCCCTTTGCCTCAACTTTCATGAAAAGATAAATGAACTATGGAATTTTCCCAATTTTTTGCCATTCTTTTTTGGAATTAAAAAAATCCTGTAAATTTTCTATAAATGTGTGTGTTTCTTTTTCATCATTTTGTTTTGTGTGCTCCAAGTGGAACGATGATGGATGGGCGGGGCTTGACAAGTTGAGTTTTGAAGTTTTAGTAGCAGCAGCAGCAGCAGTAAGGCGGGCGAGGGGGCTTATGCATGTTGTTTTAGTGACAGGGGTTTATGGTTGTTGGTCACACACACACACCTCTCAACCTTCCGCCTTTATTGGTTGTTGCTCCATCGGTAGCCAGGTAAGGTGTAGCAGTGTGATTATTATTATTATTATTCCCTTGGGCTCCGAGTGGTGGGACATAGATCTGCAACAACATCTCCACTCTGTTCTAGTTTCTGTCGTCTACTTCACGATTGAACATAACCTCTCATCGCCTCCTCCTCGCACGACCTCCTCCATATCATCCTAAGACGACCCACTCATCGCTTACCATTTGGGTTCTCCTGGAGGATCTGACGCTCGATGTCATTCAACGACCTTCTCAACATATGCCCGAATCATCTCCAATTTCTATTATATATTTCAAACAATTAGCTCCCTTTATGAATTTAGATAAAGTAATAAGAAGACGTAATTTGTCTGAATCGTGTGTGTAATGTATTTGCGCGCGCTACTCATTTCGAACAATCCGATGTCACAAGGACTTGTCATAGGATTTATAGGCTTCACATTCTCAATTATTATGATAGTAACTGCATAAAAAGTCTTTTTAACAGTAGCGTTCAATCTTTGTCTAATTATCAAGCTGCTATGACGCCTCATATAGAGTAGCTTGATGTACACGTCTTTCTTAGGGGCGAGTTGGACTTTTTATGCAGCTAATATCATAATAATAATTGAGAATGTGAAGCCAATGTATCCATCCATCTAAGCCCTTTTAACATGCGAAAAATGATGTCACATCCCAATGTATTTACCAATACATAGGGAGGACTCATCGATCTCTGCAAGTAAGGGCTGGCTTCAGAGCATATTCCTAAATGGCTCCAGAAACAAATAGAATCCCCAGAAATCATTATTGGTGAGAACGGGATACCTAGCTCCTCTACTGTGAAACATATTGCAGAGGAGACAGGATGTTAAACTGACGTTAACACATCTTTTAAACCTATCTATAAAACGTGTTTGCGGGTGCGTATTCTAAAGTTTGTGGAAGCCCTAGCTGGCAATTAGGAAGTTTAAACCACCTTTATCCTTGCAAAAACAATTCGTCATCACACTAAACCACCTTCCTTGGTAAACTTTGGTTTGATACCAGCCAGCGTAGATGTACTATTACCTCTGTTATTTGGTTTAGTGATTGATCTTCATTGTTAGTTTGACCTTCAATATGTCCTCCTTTTAACTTGACGTAAGTAGTCTATTTTCTCACCTCCTAACTCTTTATTAATTTCACATATATCTATTCCTATGACAAGTCCGTGGAGTGTGATCAGATTGTTCGAAATGTGTTTCGCGCGCAAATACATTACACACACGATTCAGACAAATTACGTCTTCTTGTTGCTTTATCTAGAAGCGATTATGTTGGGAAAATGGAAGGTATTTTGAATGATCAAACTATATTCTAATCTTTTGTAGTTCCAAAGACCTCAATATAAAAGCGGAGAAACTAATGGCCGACTCTATCAAAAAACTGAACCTGAAAGGAGTGTCCTCATCAGCCATGTATTATGAGTCTATGAAACCATCGGGTACCGATACTCCACGTCTTTATGGTCTACCCATAGTGCACAAACTGGGTCTTCCTTTTCTCCCTATTGTAGATATGTATAACTCTCCATTTCACGGAACAGCAAAGTGGTTAGTGAAACTTCTGGGACGTTTGCACAAAGAAATTGTGTGGCATAGAATTAGTGATGTCTTCGACTTCATTTCTAAAATATCCGAGACTAATGTGAGGGATAAACGTAAGTTATCCATGGATGTAACATCACTGTTCACGAATGTACCACTTATGGAAACGGTAGATTACATTTGCCAAGAAATCATCGAAAAGGCAATTGGACTTAGGAATTCCCTTGTGGAGCCTCAAAGAATTACTCCTTAAATGCACAATGAATGTGCATTTCGTCTTCAGTAATTCATATTACCGACAAGTAGATGGAATAGCTATGAGTTCACCAGTAGGCCCAATATTAGCCGACTTCTTTCTCACAAAACTTGAAAACGGGAAATTGAAGGACATCATCAAGCAGCTTGATATGTATCACCTATATGTCGATGATATATTTATCTTAGCTGATGAGAATGTTAACATAGACGAATTGTTGCTGAAATTCAACAACATCCACCCTTCGCTTACCTTTACTTATGAAGAGGAGCAGGATAATAAACTACATTTCCTGGATGTCTTGCTAAATAGGAGAGAAGATTGGTCACTTGGGAGAAGCGTGTATAGAAAAAGCACTTTCACAGGGCAATACACACACTTTCTTAGTTACACATCCATTAAATATAAAAGAAGTGTTGTTAAATGTTTTACGAGCAGAGCAAGAAAGATATGTACGGATGACCACTTACAAAAGGAATTTGAATATATTCATGATTCCTTGAGGGAGATGGGCTATTCGAGTAGTTTCATAAAGAAACATTTGAAAACATCAGAGAGAAAACCTGAGACTATGTTTGCACGTAAAAAAAACGTCTATTTATTAAGTTACAATTTAATGGTGACTTGTCAAGTGAGATTTTATTCCAGAAACTTTCCAGGAGTATACGAAGAACGTTTTACGCAGCAAACCTATGTTTGTCATTCTCTAGCCGACGAATGATTGGGACGCAAGCAAAGGATAAGCTAGATAGTTTTGCCACATCTATGTACAATTATCAATTCAACTGCACCTGCGGTGACAGTTATATTGGTCGTACTACTAGATAGCTTAGCTAACGTGTCACTACTGAACATCCCCCATTGTAGTTTGACAAACAGCAGACAGAAAGCATCCGTAGCTCAATTTCGTCACATTTAGTTGATAGTGGTCATGTAGTGGAGAAAACAAGAGCATTCAAGGTAATTCATCGTATCCCACCGAATCTTTCCGACAGACTTCGTATTCGTCTAGTGCACACAGCTGAGGTGATAGGCATTCGAACTAATAAACCTAAACTATGCATTCAAAAGAAGTTCTTACAGCCATTATCCCTCCCTTATTGGCCTGTTAAGACCTTGGCACCAGTCAATGAAATCCACAACAGTTAGTCTAAGTCACGTAGGGAGATGTAGACTTCCTGGTTGGGGTCCTCGGGACGGTAAAAACCAATGGTTGGAAAGAATTGGTGACATGGCTCAAAATCGTTCTCAGTGGCGCAGATGCATCCACTCCTTGTGACTTATGACTGTTAAGACCTAACCAACTGATGACTTCTCCACCCCCACCGCTTACTTATATTTGCAACCCCTCTCTTATCATCCCTTAATCTTATCACATATTCATTATAAACGTGTTTCATTTCCTTCCCTTACAATCTAACATTACGTAATCGGTTCATTTGTTTTTACTAGCCTTTATCGACTACTTCCACCTGAACAGTTGTTTGTTTAATCATTCTGTTTTTCGTTATTCTTGTTATCACAGATCGCCGCACTCCTTCATCCTTATTACTGATAGAACCATTATTATTATTATTATTATTATTATTATTATTATTATTATTATTATTATTATTACTAATTGCACAATTTAGATGCACAATCTTATTATCCTATAGACAAAACACCATGAGTGGTTTATATTAGAATATTTATTTGTAAAGTTATGTGGGTATATTACAGTTAAGCTTGATGAGATCTAATTGAAAGCACAATACTGTTCGCACAAATGTGTTGTCCTAAATGATTTTTTTTCCTTCACGTTCCCCAGTGAAACATAAGGCTTCAAGCTAGTGGCTTGAAGTTTCTGTAGCAGTGTTTATTTTACAGGGTGGGGTTGCTATCCTGATGCCCAACCTTTCCTCTTCACCAGCATTATTTCTGGCTGAGCGAGGTAAAGGAGTGCGTCGGCCGGGGATCGAACCCCGGACCATGTGCATGGTCGGCGAGCGTCCTAACCGCTATAACACCGACGCACGTCCTAAATGATTGATCGCACAATAAGCATGAGAAAGGATGACATACTAGTTTATGCGGGTTCTTATCACCATATTGAGAACATTTGGAGAG